ATTGATTAATTACGTACGCGAGATTTTATACGGTTTATAAGTAACTAAACTCAGGATGTAGCTCTTCTATGGCTACTGCCCGTCCAAAGCCCAAAAAACAACGAGGGCTAGGCATGGGGTCAGCAAACCAATCCCGTAGAAAAATAACCTTGATAAGAAAACGCTAACCAGAATAAACAATTTAAACCAATTAAACTCTGCCCTTCGACTTCAAGGAAAAATTATCAAGCCTCATCTTGAAAGCCCAGCTTCTTTGGAAGTCACGAGATCGATGCCCCTTCTAACAACCACAGCAACAATTGGTATACGTACATCGAATGTTCAGACAATGAGGGAGAACGAAAAGAACCAACCAAATCGAATTGCAGAACCGGATAAACGACTCAATAGATGCCCAACTTCGAGATCAATAAGTTGGATCCCATAAGGATCGGTCAAGCACAGATCAAGTCACGACACTACGGATCATCGTCGAACAATTAGTTGAGTGGAATTCGTCACTATACATCAACTTCCTTGTTTATGGAAAAGCATTTGACAATGTGGATAGGATAAGACTGCGGAAACTTCTCGTAAGGATCGGTCATGCACAGATCAAAACCAGACACTAAGCATCATCACTCAACAATCAACTGAACGGAACTCTTCTCCATGCATCAACTCCCTCTACTATGAGGTGCTTGTAAGTATTGATTGGAGAACATTGCGGAAACTTCTTCCATATTATGACTTATGTAAGAAAATCGTCAACAACATAATATGGAATTCATATGACAGACTACACTACAAAGTCGTGGATGGAGGACAGCTCACACACACATTCCAAGTGAGGAACGGAGACAGAAAATACTGTCCTTAATCAATCTTCCGGTAGATGACTGCATTATGAAAACCTACACATCTGACGGGAAACACGGAGTACAATGCACAACTTCGATGCAAATAGACGATTTGAATTTCGCAGATCACCAAGCTTTTCTATCTCATACACTTCACTAAATGCACAAAAACACAAACATTTTAGCACCAACCTCTGCTGCAGCAGACCTCAACACCTACAAAGGATAAACCAACATCCTCAAATACAACACATAGAACACCAACACTATCACACTTGATGGAGAATCTCTGGATCAGATCAGATGGAAATCTATACATACATACATGCAAATATACATACATACATACATACAAACATACATACATAGGCAGCATCACCGATGAACAAGGAGCATTTGATGCAGACATGAAGGCGAGCATTGACAAAGCAACTGTCGCATTCCTACAGTCCAACAACACATGGAACTCAGAACAACTGTCTGTGAGCCAACATCAACACAGTTCTATTGTACGCAGATGAAACTCCGACAACCACTACAATCATCATCAACAACGTACAAGTATTTATCAACAATTGTCTACACGAGATACTCAATGTCAGTTGACCGGATGCCATCAGTAACAGCATTCTGTGGGAGAGAACAAACTAGTTTTGAGCTGATGAGGAAATTAGGAAAAGTCGATGGATGTGGATAGGACACATATTGATGAAATCATCAAATTGCATCATGAAGCAAGCGGTAACATGGAGTGGTAAAGGGAAGCGTAAAAGAGGAAGACGAAGGAACTCACTGTGTTGAGAATTGGAAGTAGACATGAAACGGATGAGTAGCTACTGGAAGGAATTGGTAAGGATTGTCCATGACAGAATTGGATGGAGAATGCTGGTGAGTGGAATATGGTCCTCCATGGGGAGTAGCAATCGTAAGTCATTAAGTAATAATTAACTAACCGATTAATTTACAACCGTCAATTATAATTAACATGAGGCTTAGACCTAATCACAATACCATAATTAAAACAACAAAGTCAAATTAACAAGATGATTGGTAATGAAGTTGAAACAATATAGTAGCAACGATAGTGTGAAAGTCCAGTTATTAAGAACATAATTCGAGACGGCAGATCAAAACATATGATGAAATACTTGAGTTCAAGATCTAATAAAGGATGAAAAACTAACCTATGTGGGCTAATGTATCCAATTCTGATTCATGTCACTTAGCATCTTCAACTTGTATTCTCAATAAAATCGAAGACTCCAGTCAATGAGTCTTAACTGTGAGTTTGATCCATTCAACAGATAAAGGAAAAGAAACTTCTAGTGATTATTATATAACAATATTTATGTGTATATATATTTATTCGTCATCTTTTTTTCCAGTTCATTTACATTCTAACATATTTCTACGTCGTAATCTATACATAAAAACGTACACCTACAAGTATATATATATAATAAACTTATCAAAAAAACCCATATCTATATATATTTAGATATTGAGATTAATACCAATGTACAATATTAGAGAAAAATACAGAATAAAAATAGATTTTTTTTGCATTAAAACAAAAGAAGAATTAGGGTTAATTAGAATGAACTGCTAGGGTGTGGGAGACGGGGGGGGGGCAAATCGATTACACTGAGTCGAATTAGGTAGAAACAATTTATTATGTACAGAGGAAATTTTGTATACATTATCAGAGTATTGTTGTTAGCTACGATTTGTGGTGTAATTCTCATTCAAAAGTAATTTAGAATAATAATAACAGTAGTAAAATAGTTAAAAGCTGAAATTGTTGAAAATGAGAAGTGTTATTTATCATATATAGTTTATACATAGATATCAATATAATTAGAAATAATAATAATAATACACTTTTAAAATCGTAATCGCCATTTATTTTTCTCAATAAATAAGTAGTAATGGTAGTAGTAGTAGTATTTCTCATGATAATAAATATAAAATGATGCATTCTAGGATTAAGAAAATTGGACAATTCAATAAAAGTATAGACAGAAACTAAAAGCCTAACAAACAAACTATTGATGGATCAAATTTCAATGTTCATTTATACAAATTATAATCAAAATTCATTCATTAATTTATTTAAAATTAAGGGAAAAAAAACAAACAATGGCGCTTCATTGTAGAAAAAAAAACAAAATAAAATGTGGAATATTAGCATAACACAGAGTAGCAAGATAGGAGAAATTATCAAAATGAAAAGAAATTATTAGTGCAATTGGAAGTATTGGGAACGTTAAAGAGAAAGGTTGGATATCTTTTATTTAAACATATAAATGAATATAAAACTTGTATAAAATTATATATGCCGTAAAGTTACAATGAGTCAAAACAACTAATGTACCTTCTATGAGAGAAAAAAATGTTTTGAGCCTAGATGTACATACATAATTGGCTTGACAAAAAAAAAAGATATCAGCCAAAAAGTAAAACAAAGAGAGAAGAGGGAGTTTATAACAAAGATTCTATTGTTCCATAAATGAGAAAAGGCAGGTAAAAGAAACAACTATTAATACAAAAACAAACACAATCACACACATAAACAAAAAAAAAACTGTTAATGAGAAGTAAAATATTCACAATCGAACAACAAGAAAATAAATATAAGTTTAATTCTTTTCCTAATAGGAACTATTAGTGCCACAGTGCTATGTTGTCACTGGTAGTAAGTAGTGTAGTCGAAAGTAAAATGCACAAGAAAAAATTTAGTTGGTGTAGAAGTGTGTGTATGAAAAAGAGATAGACAGACAGATATAAAGAAACAAGAACATGAACTAGTTCAATTTTCATTTTATTAAATTCACCGTAGCGAGAAGTTATTAACATTATTATTATTATTTTCCTAGAAAGTTGGGAAAAAAGGCAACACAAATTTAATAGTAATTATAATGATAGTAGTGATAATAGAATTCGGAGTATAGCAGTATCAGTCTATTTGCTGTGAAATTTGCTGGTAATCAGTGACAATAATTGAATGACACAATACACTATCTGATCACCGACATGAATTAATTCATATGTCCAACAGTCGCCAGACGACTATCATTGCTTCTTTCACTGGTTGAACTGCTATTATTACTAAATCGGGAGAGACCATTACTATTATTATTATTACTGTTATTATTATTATTACTGTTATTATTATTCAATTCTTGTAAAGTCAAATGTGAATTAAAGTCAACCATAGCTGAACGTGAACGAAATTCCAATGGTGGTCGCTCTCGAACAGCTTCTTCAAAATCCTCTAAAGATTCGACGTAACATTGTTTTTCCAGTAAATAATTGATTGTGATCTTAGGCAGTGGTAATTGATCAATATGATCACGTCGAATATAAGACAAAATGGTGAAACGTGTCAAATGTCGAAGGGATGCAACAACCTATAAAATGAAAATTTTAAAAAGAGAAAAATAGAGACAAAATTAAATTTATTCATGATAACAAACAAGGTAGTAATGTTAATTATTGAATGTATGATACATTAACAAATGTTTCATATACTTAATAAAATTAATTGACTATTATACAGAGGTATGTATATCAGCTAATTGATGATAAATATATTGATAAAACTGAAATGAAAAAGTCTTAGGCTGAATTTCAAATATAAACAAACAATTGATATGTATACACATTAGACCGATTATGACGATTCCTATGAACCTCAAAATGATTAGGTAACACAAACTTGAGACAATATAGTTAAGTAGTCTTTACAGATTCATCAACTTATTAAGCATTTTTAATTAAAACCGTGTATATATACATATGTCATTTAAAAATGACAAAGTATATCATATATAACAGAAAAGGTGACGAGAGGTTATATCAAATCAAATGAAGAGCGTATAACAATATTCACTAATCAAATATTTAGTTAAAACAAAATCATATGTAAAAGTAGTGTGATGTATGCTACTTAAGTTGACAGATATAAGTAGTATGTAACACTAATCAGAAGTGGAATGCCTTGCACCAGAAGATTAAATTGAAAAGAACCAGAAGGGAACAGAGAACAATTATAATAACAACAGAATTGAAATAATCATGAAGCATAGTAAAAGACAACTGAATGAAAATATACAAATGATTTATTTAATTTATGATTTTTATATTTTGTGAAAGAACTCTGTAGTATTTGTATTAAACAATAAATTGGTCTTCTTCATCAATTATTCAATCACTATAGTCGCTTTATTACAGACATGAAGAATACAAGATATATACATTGAATTAAGACACAATAATTTCCAATCAGAAGATAGTCAACATCATACAAAACTCATATGATGGATTACACTGCAAAATCGTGCATGGAAGACAGTTGACAAAGTCGTTCGCAGTGAAGACCGATGTTAGTCAAGGTTGCTTACTCTCACCCTTTCTCTTTCTCCTGGTGATCGACTGGATCATGAAGACGTCAACATCTGAAGGGAAGCACGGGATACAGTGGACATCTAGGATGCAGTTGGACGACCTAGACTTCGCAGATGATCTAGCCCTCCTATCGCTATCGCAACAACGAATGCAGGAGAAGACGACCAATGTAGCAGCAGCCTCAGCAGCAGTAGGTGTCAATATACACAAAGGGAAAAGCAGGATTCTCCGACACAACACAGAATGCACCAATCCAATCACAATTGACGGAGAAGATTTGGAAGATGTAAAAACCTTTACGTATTTGGGCAGCATTATTGATGAACAGGGTGGATCTGATGCAGATGTGAAGGCGCGGATCGACAAAGCAAGAGCAGCATACTTACAACTGAAGAACATCTGGAACTCAAAACAACTGTCAACCAACACAAAGGTCAGGATTTTCAATACAAATGTCAAGACAGTTCTACTGTATGTGGCAGAAACCTGGAGAACTACGAAAGCCATCATCCAGAAAATACAGGTGTTTATTAACAATTGTCTACGCAAAATACTTCAGATCCGTTGGCCGGACACTATTAGCAACAACGTACTGTGAGAGAGAACAAACCAGATCCCAGTGGAGGAAGAAATCAGGAAGAAGCGCTGGAAGTGGATAGGACACACATTGAGGAAAGCACCGACCGGCGTCACAAGACAAGCCCTCACATGGAATCAGTCAGTAACAACGTAGAACTTCGTACGTACGTACATCAGTTCGAGTTGCCACACCACATTAGCACAGAGATGCACTTGTCGATTCAAATCCCGTAGTGGTAGAGGTAATAAGAGTATAGGCAGTAATCGGGAAGATTAGGGTTTGGAGATGTTATTTAAAGAGTATAATCCAGTGAAATTTATTTCATTGGTACCATTTATAACAGCTACTGACTGAAAAATGCTATCTGATCAGTTAAACTATAAAGGGGATCTCAGATGAAACGTCGAATATGCTCTGCCAACATACTAACTAGGTTATATTTTGCATTTATAAATTATGTATCATAAAAAATCTCTTTTGTATTTCATTGTTATCCATCTCTAATCAGTTTAAGAGCAAACTGAAACGGTTATAATATCTCATGACATTAAAAACTTCTAGTCAATTTAAAAATATCCATTCGAAAAACAAGACAGAATTTCCTTACGGAAACATCAACATACTTCTATTTCTTTTTATTTATCAACCCTATATTTTACAAAGATAAACAATCTTCCACATAAGGTTACCATAAAATGATCGATTCATTCAATGGGTTACATATTAAAATGAGTAAATACCATTACTTCTAAGTACTGCGTATTTTCTTCCTACGAATCTTGTTTACAAACAATGCATACATAATACATGTAAGACAACCTTAAACATCGTCATGATCAGCATTATGTATGTCTAGGAGGAGACAAGATAGACATTTTAAGGTCTATTTATTTCTTAGTATTTATTATTATTATTATTCCTACTAGTATTATTAGCATTAGTATTATTACTGTAACATTTCTTTTTTTAAGAAAAAATGATTAGTTCCTATCGTAATATGTCATCGATGATGAATAGGTAACTTAAATCAAACAATATAATTAGTTGTAAGTAGGACAATGAATAGAATGAGTTAATTGGTGTACATTTTTGACATGCAAAAATCAATCGATATATGAGGTAATATTGTGGTGTGTGCTACTGATGTCGATAGATATAAGTAGCATGGATCATTCATAGAGAGAAAAAAGACCAGGCAGCAAAAAGTTAACAAGATCGCAGAAAAGAGAACAAGAACAGAGAATGATTAGTGTGGAAATGAAAAAAAAACAATCAAGTCTGAGACTAATTATTGACATTTTCCAAATGAAGTATTTATTGTATGGTTCACAGATTTTACTACAGCATTCTATAATTTTGTATTCAAATAGATTTGGTTGTCCTTGTTTGTGTTCTTGTTCATTACAATATGACTAGTTTACAACAAATTTAAGAACAAGTTGAGACATGTTTTTCATACTAAGAATTTAATGTAACAACATTTTTTTATTTGTGCTTTTTTTTTACCATAAAAACTTGAGTCTTCACGTTTGTTTTTTTTACGTGATTAACATGTTTACAACTAAACATATAACAATACACACATATATGTACATGAAGAGTCAATGGACAACAGACTAACTGCAACGAATGTATACTACTGTCTCTATAAAAATATACATATCAAATCAACAGGCTTTTAATATGATTATAAAATCTTATAAAATTCGAAGTGAGAGAAAAAAATTTAAAAAAATGAAGAGAACAGTATAAGGTGTAATGCAATGAGGTCGAGAGAGAGAGAGAGAGATGAGAGAAAATATTAGTGACCAACATAAGTATCAATCGACTTGTAAAATGAGTCATTCAAAAACCATGAGTACTAGGATAATAATAATAATAATAATAATAATAATAATAATAATAATAATAATAATAAAATAAAAAATAACAGTTGAAATAAACAAAAGCGCACATGGAACAACAGCCTACATAACATGAAATTCTTCAGTAAGTCAAAAGATTAAATATGCTTCTGTTAAGTGAATAGATGTAAGAAAGATCAGTCAGTCAGTCGATGTAGGAGGAATAATAGGAAGTGAAGACGGAGATTGGTTATGAATACAGTGGTCTTGAATGCTGTTAGAGGTATGAGGGCGGTTATCACTTCCCGGTTGCCCACAACGTGGAAGGGTTCTTTCGGAGGTACCAGAAAAGGAAATTGGATTAGAGGTGGTCTTAGTGACCCGAGAGCGTGACCGCAGTGCTCAAGGGACAACTGCTTGAGGTCGGTCACATACGACCTTTTGATGGGTGATTTTTGTGTTTGCTCCGTAATTGTTGAAACCTTACCGCCGGAGACGGAAATTCACGGGATAAGGCGAGGTATGCACGTTTAGGGTCGCCCATTTCTAACCCCGCCGCTCTTTATGGGAAGGCAGCATCACTATTATGCTGGTTGTCTGAAGGAAGCACCTAACTGCTGTCAATCATCTGTACAGTTAGCAGTACGACTTCGCCCTCGAACCTTGGGTTTGTTGCTTTTTGTCTTACCGCTCTTCAACTGACCTACTTGGGATGGTAGATCCTTGAGGAACGATTATTCCAGCCAGTATAGCTCGGTTGCTTCATCACGATAGGCCAGCCCGACCACCACGTCAAGGTAGCAACAACGGTCGGGTGTAAGAAAGATATCTGGTACAGGACAGATAACACCAGTGTTAGTACTACTGAATAAGTCATGAATTGATTGGAGTTGGAAATATGGATCATCAAATGTTGGTACATTAGTCTAATAGGTACTGTGAACACTATCAGACGTAAAGGTCTTCGATTTAGGCGCTGGTAGGGGTAGCAATGAAGGCTCATTCGTCGAAGACTTAAAACTAAGACGAAGCAGATGTGCACCATGGTTCTGAATACAATGTCAAACCATGATGACCGCACGAAAGCCTTGCTACGACTAAGAGTGGGGAGAATCTTTTCTTCCTCTTAAAAGGCTTTCATACGGCCACGTGTTCATAATATCTATCAGGGGAAGTCCACATCGAGTATTAAATCGTCGGTGCTTGAACCACATGGAGAAAGTGGAAAGGTTGATTTATGGCACAGATATATGAAAGCTGTATAAGACTAGAATACGTCGGTCGTTCATCACAGCTCTCTGGCTAGGGTCCCCAAGATAACCCAACTCAGTGGCTCGAGATGCAACCCGACATGGTGCAGAATAGACACCCTTGAAATTCAACTAACTTATAGTTCAAAGGCATTATGTTCACCATGAAATCTTAAGGTTTGACGAGGAATGAACACTCTAGATAGAAGCTCATATTTGTGATGTTAAGTGTTTGGAAGTGGTCGGCAGGAAACCTAAGTTTTGTTCTACTTGGGACACGTTATCAACGATTACCTGCAATATTGAGATTGTTGCCACATCACGTGTGATTTGAACCCATCATCAAGCTTTAAACTTTGAGGCATTACCACTATCCTGTTCTGGGACTACCAGACCTCGATTCTTAGTGACGCGGGCTCAAATTAATCGGGGAGTATCAGTCCCCTGAAGATTGTAGGTACGTCTTGTTGACGTGTACACACTAGCACGAAATTCAGGCCCAGCGTTTCTTGTCACCCATCTTCAATAACCTAGTATCTCATCACATTCGAGGGAATATCAAGTCACTTAGACTAGTAACCACATTGCAAACTGTTCAATAAGGATTCGATCACAACTAATGACTAGACAAATATGGCATTGTTTACTACTACTCAATGATCGATCAACTGTAGACCCCACAATGGGAAAAAACAAATACTCAATTTAAAGATTTTACGCTCAATGTTGACCGATGATGAAAATTACTTTTGAAGAGTAATTATTATCAACTTGAGAATCATTAATAGAGGAAGACCATGAGTTTTTAAATATAGAGATTCTATGACCTTCCAAATGATTGATGGTTTAACTGTCAGATTTTTAGTGACATAGAGAATACTAAGTCAATTTAGTGGTCTTTAACTGTTAATCCAATCAATTGGCTATATAAGCTTGCCATTATTTAGTGACGCGGTTAACAGTTTGACTCTCATCACTGTTGAAATCTATTAGATACGACCTTCCCGTGAGCGAGATCGTGGATACGCACTGCTGAGTCCCATACTAAGACGAAACGACCGTCCAGTGCTTCCAGGTTTTCAGTGGTAGTCTTAAACCAATCGGTTTATGATCTTAATCAAAAACTTAATGATCTACATAACCTCATACTGATAGTTACGACTGTATTTATTTAGTATCTTCGATAATTCATATGTTCAACTCAGTTATCATTAGTGAGAATATAAAATATTGGTGTTTCGTGATAGTCTGTCATAGTGACTTTGAATAAATACCAATCCCCAAAGAAATTGTACCATTAGGCTAATTTCCAAAATTCCTCTTGACTAAATGCAGCAGTAATAATACACTACGGACCGACCTACTTCTCATAATATATATGTGATTTCATGTAAACAAAAAGTTAAGCTAAGGTTATACGAAATATTTCCAGTATTCAGGAAATATAACTTCGCCTAAAGCCTTTCTAGGGTTTTTGTTGATTCCAAGCCCAGATAATGAAGGGTTAAGTATGGAATTACCAACCCAGCCCCACAAAACAGAACCTTGTTAAAAGAGGATAAGCAGAAAAAAATCATTTAAACCACTTAACGTCTATCCTGGAAAATGTAGGATTCTCATTCACAAGTTATGGCTTCTCATGATAAAAGTCGACAGTTTTAGGTTTACTACCATTAACAGACAATTCCAGATAACTTCAGACTCCATAAAATGAAATCTTTAGTGAAAACGACACCCCAATATGTAGCACTTAGTGATTAAATAAACAGGAAAGTGGTTGAAAGTGTTATATCTAACACTTAGTGAACGCTAAAATTATTGAGCATAGCCTTAGCAATAGTCAAATATTAATAATGATTATTATTTTTTTTAGGCAGAAAGGCGATAAAAATGGTTGATGGTTTACAACGCTTATTCTTCATTATTATTATTATTATTATTATTATTATTATTATTATTATTCATACCCGTGTCATACGTACCAAAGAAGAAAAGAGAATCACATAGCACAATTCTTTAAACAAAACTATATGCCAAAATTATAAGTGTACACATGTTGATAATTTCAAAATATTTATTTATGTAACAATAATAAGAACAGAAAACATATAGTCAGAGAATAA